AATGATGGAATTATAGTTTGGAAAAAATTTAGTGATAGGTTTAAAAATCACTAAACAAATAATTAGGTGGCATAAATATATGAATAGATTTAATTAAAAGGCCACTTTATTTTTTTCACCTAAGGCCTCATATTGTATTGAGCTGCCCCTGTGTATGAGTATGTATATGCCGTGTGTCTATACCGACAATATATATATATATATATATATATATATATATATATATATATATGTATATATATATATAGTAGTTGTTTGAGTTAGGGTTTGAGAGAGAGGAAAGAGAAGAAGAGGGTAAAGATATTTAAGTCAATTACATTTGTTAATTTTATATCAAAAGGTAATAAAGTCTATTTACCATTGTTGGGTATCTTTGTATTTTTTATCAAACTTGAGGAGGGTGTGAATGTCCAAAAATAGGATAATTTTTATTCCTTATACCAAACCTCAGAGGTGTTAGTGTACTTTATTCTATTTTTTAATAATAAATTTATATGTTTCGTGTGTATATTTTTTTTTAGAATAATTTAAATTATTTATTTATTATCCGTTTTTATTTTAAAAAGAATATAAGATGTTTAGAATAGTTTTTATAAAACTCAAATTACTTATTTATTATGAGTTTTTAGGAAATATATAAAGAAAATAAATAATTTGGTCTTTTTTATGTTCCCATGTATGTTTCCTTTTAAAATAACACAATTTAAAATTAATATAAAATGTTTAGAAGAGTTTCTATAAAACTCAAATTATCTATTTATTATGAGTTTTTTAGTAAAAGGAAATCTAATTAAATAAGAAAATATATAAAGAAAATAAATAATTTAGTTTTTTTAATGTTCCGTATATATGTTTCCATTTAGAATAACACAAATTACCTTTTTATTATACGTTTTTATTTTAAAATTAATATAAGGTTTTTAGAAGAGTTTCTATAGAACTCAAATTACCTATTTATTATAAAAAAACATTTATTAAAAAGAAATCTAATTAGATAAGAAAATAAATAATTTAGTCTTTCTAATTCGACAAGGAAATATATAAAAAATAGAAATAATTTAGTCTATTTAGTCTCCTCATCTTTTCTAATTTTATAAATAATATATAAATAATTTTTTAAAATATAAATAAATAAAATATTAGTAAATTGTAATAAAAAATAGTCTTGATTTTGATATTGTTTTAGGAGTTTGAAAACACACCTATCAATAATTAAATTCATATTGTAAAGTTCAATTAAAATTTATATTTTTATCTCGTTTACCTTATGTCAATTTTATGTTCATGGATATTTTAAAATTTACAATTATTTAATTACTTTATCAAATTTTAATTTTAATGTAAATTTTACTTACTTACAAGTTACAACCCACGTACAATTTTACTTCGTGTATATAAAAAAAGTCGCAAATTCCTACAATTTCAATAATGTCCACTATTCTCTGTGCATTTGAATTCTCTTTTAAATTTTCTAATCTGTATTGGAAGCAAAATAAGAATTGTCAATATCAGTTGTATTATATAATTGGACCAGAAACAACATTGAACTTGGAATTATTACGAGAAAATTAAGGTTTACCAGTCGGCTGCTAGAACAAGGAGAAAGACCTCAAAACTAGAACAAGGAGAAAGACCTCAAAACTTTTCCACCAATATATTCATCATCGTCGCGGCCGCCAGCAACCTCAATCCCTTCTGATAAGGTCAGCGGCATAAATTCTCTATTTCCATTTGTTTATATCACTTCGGTTTACCTATTGTGTTTAAATTCGCTTTGATTTTTTCTTATTTTAGTCACCTTCATCATCTCTTGGGTACCCTCCATAAAAAATTAAAAATTAGCCTTTTCGGTCTTCTTACCCATCTATAAGTTTTCCTTATATGCGTCAAAACCATCTATAAGAATACCCTCTTATTTTCTTGTTAATGGGGTGACTCCTAAATTTTTCCAACAACATATTTATGTGTCAAAATTTTCAAATCATTTTAAACAATATCAGGCCTCCCCATTTCTTTAATCACCTATATATAGATGTTCATATCGATCTATTATGCGCCACTGCATCTAGCATTGGGTAGACCTCATACAATAACCATATCTTTTGTTTCATTTCTTCTGGAACAATCACAAACACTTTTTTGATTATGGATCAACTACCAGAAATTTAGTGCGTAATCTCAGCATTCAATGTGTATTCCTGAATAAATCATAGTTCGTAGTCGCGGTAACAGTCACAGTTAAAATATAACGAACTCGGACGAATATCAGTATAAACAAATCAAATTGATTGATTTATAGGGATATGTAATAATATCACACTTTTTAAAAAAAATTACGAACCAACTGATACGACGAACTATAATATATATATATATAACTTAACAAATCGTCTTATTTGAAATTGGATTATCCCTGGCAATATTAAAAAAAAAAAATTGCTAACAGATTTCTTCAGGTTTAATTGGAGTCTTTGAAACCTTATTTTGACTGAAGCCACACACACTGTTGACTGAGTGTCACTTGGACCAAATGAACTCCGGATGTAGAATATTTTTATATTTTTATTTTTTTTGGTGTTTGATTGTCATAAAATATTTACGAAGAAAAAAAATATATTAAAATTTAATAAAAATAATTTATTCATAAATTTTCGACAAATTATTTTACATTCCCTGTTTGATGGACTCAATCTCAATCTCGATATAGACCTTTGCCAAATACTGACAAAGTAAAAATAAATGAATATTTTACTTGAAAAAAAAAAAATTCTAAAAAAATTATTTTATATCGAAACAAACGGAGCCAAACATAATTCATGTGAAAATGTATTACCTATTATTCAACTCATTTTCCTGAGGCATGGTGAACTAAATTCTATTAGCTTGCATCGAATTCACGTCTTCTTCAAATTTATTATTTTATTTTTATTTTATTTATTTATTTATTTAGAGTTAGTGACTTGGTGTACCAGAGAGAGTGAAAATCGCCTCACCAACCAACGGGTCTCGAACTGTTGGTAAGATTATCAGTACCCTCTCCCGGAAAAGCAACTTCATATCTTTCCTCACTGCCATTTAATTGACGTTGGAAGAGGCAGTTTAAATCTGAAATTGTTGCAATGAAAAATGGTAACACAAATGAAAGCTGAATTCAGCTGCAAAAATAAATGAACAAATAAGATAAATATAGTCCCAAGGATATGTAGATTGATTATTGCATGAAGGAGCAAAATATTAACATTAGAAAATGTAAGAAAGTAAAAATTAATTGGTAAAAATTAATATAATACCTTAAAAGCAGTTTTAGTACTCTTTGATATAAATTGCAGTGCAATATATATATGTATAAATTGTAGAACACGGAAAGGCAAATAAAATACTCCTTCCATACCAATTCTCAAAATATTTGTTTATTTTTCTATTTTCAGACGTCCTGAAATACGCATTACATTCTATAAATGGATGTACTAATTTTTATAACATTATTAAATTATCCTTTTGACTAAATAAATGCACTAGTTATAGATTATTATTTTGTCTTTTTAATATATTTAAAAATTCACTCTTATTAGTACAATAAAAAATTATTAAAATTTCACTATTATAAAAAGTCGAATCCCCTGAATAGGTTAAGAATTTTAGAATAGAGTGAGTACAAACATTCAACAACTAATTAAGCAATGGGAATATATAACTTACACAAGTGAAAAATATATTAATTTGCTTCTCGGGACGAACCAGACTTCGCTCCAACCTCATCCTGGATTTCGCCTCTGTGTTTGATGAAAGTAAGGATGGCAACGGGACGGAATTGGGGCCGGTTTGGCTAAACCTACTTCGCCCCATTAGAAAATTCGTCATACCAACTTCGCTCCTACTCTGGGACGAGTTTCTAATAAGTATCCCGTCACTACTCCGGTAGATAAAATACCGATTCTACCTCGCGTACTCCTTTTAATTGTAGGCTGGGATGGTTTATGCTACTTTTATTATGTAGTTAAAAAAAACCTAGCTCAATATGATCAAACTGGGATAATAAATAAGTTGACCAAACTTTTAAATTACTAAAGTAATGAATATTAATACATTAACTTACACTTCCAACAAAATAACAAGCTCCTACAAATATTATATATATATATATATATATATATATATATATATATATATATAAATAAATTTAAAGGTACATATATAATTGGAACGGGTTCATTACTAAATTTGGCCACCCCAAACTCGTTTTCAATTTTCAATTATTTTATCATGCCTGTCCCAAAATTCTTTTGGAGGTACAATATTTGCCCCATTATGGATGAGAAGGGGGCAGAAACGGGAGAAATTGTCATCCCTGAATAAAACTCATTGGTCTTGGTCGATAATTTTTACTTTCTTGAAATTAAATAATCTGATGCACATGTTTTGTTGCTGTAATATGTTGTACAAACGTGCAATTAGATTGTCCCAAGAACAAAGCAGCGTTGACAGAGATTCAGAAAATAAGTCCTTAAGGTTTTGGTTTCGAACCATACTCTTGATTTTAAATGATGCATGTATTGTGTGGTTGATACACGTGCTTAAAAAAAAAAAAAAATCGAGATTGCAATATCAGTATTTAAACTCAGAAGATGCTTAAGAACACAAAATATAACCAGGGAAAATTATTTCAAAGGCAAAAAAAAAAAAAAAAAGAAAACAGAGAAAGAAAGAATAATAAACTTTTGGTGTCAACTTACAAACCAGCTAAGTTCCATTTTTTTCAGAGAAATGGAATCTCTAAAAAAGGTTATTACAAATAAATGAATTTTTACAGTTGGACTATTACTTTTACGCTGAGATGACCAAATTATCCATTGACGAGTTACTGTAAAATATTTTTTATAGCAGCAGCACTAACAACAAAAACAACAACTTACAACCATAGATTAAATTGAGATTGCAGTATCAGTATTTACGTTGAGATGACCAAATTATCCATTGACGAGCTATTGTAAAATATTTTTTTGAACAGCAGCAGCAACACCAACAACAACAACTTACAATTATAGATTAAATTGAGACCAAATTACCCTTTGACGACTCACTTTACCAAAGTATCGCTACTCTCTCTCACGATCTGCACACACCAAACACAGATTCGAAACCCTAGCTCTCAGCAGAATGAACTGTTCTCAAGTAACTCTCACCTTTCATATACATCTTTAATACACACACAATTTAATCTTCACTTTGATCTCTGATTCCCTTGTTTCACTCTGTTCTTACAGTCTCCGGCGAGGTGCCGGAAAGCCGGTAGTTTTGAGGAAGTCTAGGTTTCTGTTCGTGAAGCGATTGATAGAGAGACATATATCGGTATGTTCTTCTTCTTCTTTTTCTTTCTTTTTTCCTGTTTTGCGTGCTTCTTCAATACGTTTTGTTTGGTTAGTGAGAAAACCGTACGAAAAAGGAAGAGATTAAGCTTCTGAATCTTACACTTTTCATTTTGAAGTTCTTAGGGAAAGAATTCGATTTACTCAGCTTTCTAAAATCATTCGCCCCTGTAGCAAACCCACCATATTCAATCTCCCAGTTTAATCAATCACTCTCAATAGGTAAGATTGTTCTGCACTCTACTCTCTGCGTAAAAAAATAAATAAATTATATATACATATAATTTATGTAAGCCTTAATTTTAACCCTAAATTTGTAAGTCCTTAGTTTTAGCTTATGAAAAATCTAACTAATATAACTAAAATGATTATCTAATTTCTCTAAATAGTCATTCCAGTTGAGCTCCAAGCTCATATAGTGTGTGTTGCGTGAAAAGGCACCGGGAGGGTTAGATTCAAGCTGCTCTGCCTCAAAGGAAGAAGAATTGCTGGCTAATGTTGTTGTCGGCATGGACCGTTTGGGAATTGATGGAGGAATATCTTCTAATGGAAGCTCCCAGAATAACAAGGAAGATGACGAAGGTGGTGTGCAAATCAACTGCTTTTCTGAAGAGTCGGATAATGTTACTCTCCACTTTCAGATCATACGTCTTCAAAAACAGGTTGGTTTTCGTCATCGAACCTTCCTTTCATGACTTGTTTGCAGTGTCATCACTTATACAACCATTAATTTGATTATTCAATGATTTTTTCTGCTTTATATTCGGATTCAAGCAATTACTTGATACCCCATTTCACAATTGTTGGAATACTCTTATTGTTACTTGATTTTAATTGCTGAGGGTTGTTGTAATTTACTTTCAGATAAACACAGATTATTGATGTGGTGTATGCGAAGCATTGTTCAAATGCAGTAAAATTACCCAATATAAGTAGTCATCATTTGAGGTTCAAATTTGTGTTTCTGTTTTTGTGTCAGCCACTAGAGATTATGTGATTATGTAGATGATATGCAGCTTTTATTTCCTATGTGAATTTGCATTTATCATACTTTGTCACTGGATTATTATTTACTTTAACCAATCTTTTTAGATTTGGACTGTCAATGTGCTTACAGTACATAAAGAATCAAGTGAAATTGATTCTCAAGGTCTAGATTTTTGCTTTTGATTTTATGTTAATGTTGCCAAATTGAATTGACTTCATTTTTCCGAGAGATTATTAAAATTCAAAGTGTCTAGATATTGCTTGATGCTGGCAGGAACTGTGTTCTGGACTGTGGGAGATGATTCTGTTGACACTATATGAAAAATCACTTATTCTGAGGATACCATGTCAAAAGTCACTTTAACTTGTCAATTTTTTTTTGTGTGTGTGTGTCAAAAGTCACTTTCAGAACGCTCGTGGCACCCTGAACATTAGGCATTTGTTTTAAATGCAACTAACTTTGTGCAAACAAAAGAAATCAGCATGATGCACATTAGAACTCACAATTTTCTAATATATAATTTTATTTTATTTTTACTGTATTTATTTACCATTTTGTTTTTTACTTGCTATGATATCAAAACTGATACAAAGTATTACTCAGTCATAAAATGGAAAATGGGAAACTACTCAATGCTTCTGAACACAGATTAAAAAAAGACTTTCTAGTCCGTTCTTTAGCTTTCTTCTCTCTGGTGGTTCTATTTATTATGCTGTTTTTGTAGATATATGCATGGATCGGTTGCAACTCAGCCAAATTCGGAAATTTATATGCAGCTCTGCCGGCAAGACCTGTAAGTTGACAATTTCTACATCATGCCGGTCTTCCTATTTTTTCTGCCATTCATTGTTGATTCTTTGGGATAAGATTTTCTATTATTTCAGCAATAGATTCAATATCTAAAGTTTAATTTTGATAATTTAGAGAGGTAATTATAAATAACTCCATGTGTTGATAGTCTTGCCATACTTGCTTACAAATATTCAAATCATCTGTCATTGTTATTTTATTAGTCATCATCATCTTATAGTTTAATGGTTATGTGCAGAAAAACACAGTTAGTGTTACTTCCATAATTGGGGGAGCTTCTGATAATACAGGATCTGGCATTGCTTGTCGATTAGGTAAATTGTGATATGCATTAATTACTATCACAATAATTTATTTGGGTTCATGGGCTGACATGCAACTGTCCTCACAGTTTTGAAGACTGGTCTAAATGTCTTATTGGCTTGCAACATTCCAAAAAACAGCCCCATGCTTGAGGTTTAATCTCTCTCTCTCTCAATGTTTATATGAACAATATACATTTACATAAATATTTTATTTCTTAAGTTCTATTTATTCCATATTTTGTGATGTTTAGCTATTAACAAACTGACTTGATATTGTGGGTTTCATCAATCAGCCTTGTTTGGGTGCATGCGTAATTTAGCGTGTTGGATGTTCTTGTTCCTGGCTGTAATACCTTGTCTGGCCTCTTTTTTCCTTATGGTGGTTTTCAGGCAGATGCCGAGAAAAAGCTGGTGGAAAAACTAATCAATCTGGGATACGCTAGGTCAAAATCCAAAGGATGAAAGTAGCTGAAAGCTGAGACTGGTATGCTAAACATGAAAGATGCAATTAGTTTGTTTATACTTTATAGTGATTCTGCTGGCACTGTGATACCCACTATAGCCCGGGAAGCTGCAACAAGGAGTTATGGCACCATTGATGGATCATGCTATAGTGTTTTACATTCTGGTACTCCTTTTTCCAATGATCCTGTGCTTTAAAGTCCTGCTCGCGATAAGTACAACTGTTGGTAACAAGGTCTTGTTACATAAACTTTTACAAAGTTTAGTCTGTACGTTGGCTACTATATAACTGAACCATTGTTGGATACTGTTGAAGCTCTCTTCGTTCTTACACAGGTCATCAATATAATTGCTCTATATTTAAAGGGTGCAACTGGAATTGTTAGTTTGCTTATGTGCAGTCTTTCTTAAGTTGTAGTGATGTGCTTTTTGGAAATGCGCATGTTTTTGGGTTGGAAAGAAGAAGGTCCGTCACCCATTGTTAGTCCCACCTATGTGGGTTTCTTATTGGAAGTGTTTCTTTTCTTCTTGGTCATTTTGTGTGTTCCTAGGGTGTAAAGTTTTATGAGCCTATGTTTTCTAACGTTCTGCATGCACTGAAAACATATGTGATTGTAGTCAATTCCAGTCGAGCTTGGGGTGAAATGGAATCCTTTTTGCTCGAAAACTTATTGCATCCTCACTTCCTTTGCTGGGAGATTGTTATGGAACTTGGTGCTTTATGGTGCGTCATGCTGAAATAGACATGGTGACGATAAACTTTGCTTATTGTTGAGATTTGTGGTGTCTTCAAATTCGGTTCCTGGTAGTGCTCTATGCAAAATTGCAAGTATCAATTTGCATGATTCTTTCATGTAGTGGATCTAAGTTGTCATCAATTATGTTTGTAGCCTTGCTTATGCAAGGATTCCAGCTAAATTTGCTTTCGGATAGGATGAGAAGTGTTGTGGAGAGCTTCAATGATGAATCGTTGAGAGTGCGCGATTCTGATGCGTTTGGTGGACCATTCTTTGCTATATGTCTTTATTTTCGTTTATGTTTGGGTGTATATATATATACACACACAATGACATAGTTTATTAGTTCACCTAATACTTAAAAAGTATACAACAAAATAATAAAAAAACAATAGTGACCTTGATGCTGATTATTATGAAGTTTGGGAATATACATTCTAATTATAATAATTAATTAACACAACAAAAACAAAACATAACAATTACGCCATTTTTTTCCATACAAAAGGAAAAATTCATATTTCTTTCAATATCTAATATCAAACATAACAATCATAAGACATGAATTAACTTAGAAACTAGAAAAATAGAAATTATTTGATTGACTTCCTTACAATTGTAGGCTTTTTCCTCTTTCCTTTTCCTTGAGGTGTTGGAATGGGAAAAACCAAACTATCCACAATAGAAACTGCCCGTAGCCTAGCGTCGACCTCTGTTTGTCCAAGACGAGTGCACGTGTTGTTTTTGGGATTATAGATGAATAGTTTTTTGTCATCAAGTATCATCACAATTTTACCTTTCTTGGTAACACACAATAGCTTCAAAGAACTTATATGTCTCTCACGTATCCAGTGTGGGATGACAATTAACTTGGTCCAAGAATGATGCTCACCAGATTGCTCCATAGTCCACACCTCAAAATAGTTCATATCACTGGTACTAAAATATAAACTGAGGCATCCCTTCAAAACCGTCAAATCAAACATATCTCCATCATTTATACAATTTGGTGATGGCATCTCCTTGAACTTGTGATCCACCATGTCAAAGTAAACAATCACACACCCATATTGCTTCTTAGATTGGTTTGTAATGGGTTTTGCATTGCAAGAAACGAGGAGATGTTCTTTGTAGGAATCACCGAACATAAAAGTTGGTGGATCAGAGGTTCCAACCATGCCCAATCTACCGGGAGAGGGAGGTCCAACTCTAGCAGAGGTCGACGACTCTCTATTATCATTATTATTGATCAAGGCTTTATAAGCAACCATGTGTAACACTCCATTGACAATAACGCTAGAACCACTGCGATAACCCAAATAAGGGAAGTGCTTAGCCTCTGTCCAGGATTGACTTCTGAAACTGTAAACCACAAAATCTCTTGCACAGAAAAACAGCACCTTGTAATCATCCAGGAAAGAATCATAGCAAAATCCACGTGGTGGATAATTGTGATATTTAGGAGGACGTGAGAACCTTTTGTATGCTCCAGTGGATGGATTCCACAGTACACATATGTCGTCCAGAAACAACAGTACTAAACCATTACAAGAACAACTCAATATAGCAGCTTTCCTATACTTCTTAAATGGAAAGCATAGTTTTTGCTGTGAATTATCACTGCAGTCATAGGCTATGGAGTCGAAATTTTTGTGATTACGTCCGTTGTAGCCCCAGCGGATGATACTTTGACGGTCAAACTTAATTGATTCATTGAGACGTGATCTCTCGAATTGGGGATCGGAAATTGCATCAAGCCATGATTTACTAACACACCTGAATCGCAACACAGACTTGACGGGTAGTCTTAAGAGTATAATGTGTATGATTTCATATGGCGTGTCACCATATGAATTTCTTCGCATTCTTCTTCGTTTTATCATGGCTTCGCTCTTGTCAGCGGCACAAGGATTCACTCGTTTTATCATGGCTTCTCTTTTCTCAGCGGTAGAAGGATTCATGCAGGAAGGGGAAAAGTTGGCTTGATGAGCGCAGATGAGGAAGCCGGGAGCAAGACAACCACCCCGAATCTGCTGGTGGCGTAGCAGCTTCTTTCTGACTATATATACATATATAACAAGAGGGTCAACTAAATAAGTTACCAATTAAAATAATAATCCTATTCTACTCGGGATTTATTTAGTTCAATTCTAACTCTTTCCTAATCCAATTCTAATTCTCTTTACACTCCTAAAAACGAAGGAATTAAAACAAAGTCTAGGCTTGCTTGCGTAAGAAGAATATGGAGTGGAGTTAGCACTTTCACAATCTGATACGAAAAATTTCTTGAATTTAGTTTAAGTCGGTGAAAATAAGGCCTCCACCTGATGATGTAGGTGTCAGTGCCAAAGTTTATAACTTTGTCGTTATTTCCGGCTTTCATAAAGAGTAATGCTTTGGGGTTCAATCTTTTTATGGGTTTAAATTTAAATTCTGGTTTGATGATGTGAAAAAACAGATTTTGTTAATTTTTGGATTGGGTATAGTAAAAAAAAAATGCATTTGGCTAAAGGCAAAAGCAAATATGTCTAAATAACATATTCTTCTCACTAGGTTCTCCACAGACTGCGTGACATTTATAAAACTGATTTATATATGATATATGTTACAAAATTGACATCTATTTTGCATTATTATTTGTGATGACAGAGAGAGAAAAAATAAGAATATGGTTGAGACTAATTTGTAGTAAATGTCATGAAGAAGATTAAGTAAAATAATTCTTTCCAGTTACTCATCTAACAATGGTGATTAACGCCACCTCCCCAACATATTCTTATCATCACCAAGTCAGCAAGTTAAGAAAGAAATTTAATTTATTTTACCAAATATATGAATACCACTGTATACATTACACTTTATACAATATTGGGTAAATTACATTGACCTCCCTTATGATTTGTCATAATTACAGGGATCTCTTCTATAGTTTGAAAATTTATCCGGACCTCGCCTAAAAAATGAAACTATTCAGACCTTTCTTTTGTTACGGTCAATGCCAATCAATGACGGATTCTGCTGATGTCATTCACTTAATTAAGTAAAATTTTCATAATACCCTTCATCCATCTACCCTCCCTCAATTTCTCTCTCTACTCACTTTCTCTCCTTATATTATATGCATAAACCACACGACGACAGCAAAGACATGGTGATGAAATTGAATAATAGTTATCAATTAGAAATTGAGTAATAGTATTTTACTAGGGGTGGCAAAATGGGTCACAACCCATTAACCCGCCAACATTCACCCGTTTTTTAATGAATTTTGGGTAATTCATATTTTTAATGGGTTGGTTATTCAACCCATATTTCACCCATCACATAATAAACACACAACACACATCTATTATATATTACACTCAACTCATTTCTCTCCTAAAATTCTATCGATCCTCTCTGTCTAAATTTGTCTCTCATCAATCCCCTCTCTAGAAATTTTTTCTCTTTCCTTCACTCATCTCTCTCTCTCCCTCTAAAACGAGTCTATAAATATTGCTTAGTTTGAGATTGTTTTTTTTTTTTTTTTTTGTTATTAAATAAAATTTTAAAACCTTCCAATTTTTTTTTTTTAAATTAAAAAATTAAAAGTAAAAAATAAAATTAATTAATTAATTTAAAAAATTAAAAATTTTAAAAATAATAATTTTAAAAATAGTCAAAAAAATAATAATTAATTGATTCATGGGTCATAATGGGTTAACCTTATATATTTTTTACCCGTCCATTTTAACCCGTTCTGAACGGGTTGAATATGGATCTTGACCCATGTTTGACCCGTCCATTTCCAACCGAGCCCGACCTCGGCCCAACCCGCCCATTTGCCAACCCTACATTTTATTGACTTTTTTTTTTTTTTTTTTTAAGCATGGACGAGAATTTCAAAACATCTCCAAATGGAAATGTCAATCGTCATTCCAGTAGGGAAATATATATATATATATATATATTGTCATTCCAGAAATTTAGTCCTTATAGTTATTGACAACCAAGCTAATTAAGTATGTGTGGTTACACTAGTGTGAAAAGATCCACATTTTTTTTAGCAAAACAGAAACTTCTGGTGTGAAAAGATCATATTTTTTCATGAAACCGTACTTATAATGAAAAGGAAGATCTTGTGGAATTTCCAATTCTTTTGGACACAGGAACAAGAAGAAAAAAGGAAAAAATATTATAGGAGTGAAATGTTAAGAGGAAATATAAAGCTGCGGTGTAGTGTAGTGTGTGTGGGAGAGAGAAAAAACACATCACAAATCTAGAGAAGAGAAATCCAAATAAAAGGTAATACTGCAATTTGTGCAAAGCTTACCCAAATGCTGAGGAACTTTTGGATTTTGTTCTTCTGCTATGCGTTAAATCTTTCAAGCATTTGTATCCATCATTGGATTATGCAATTATTATTCCACAAGATTGCAATACCAACCAAAATCAAGCACGAGATCGTTGTTCGACACCCCAACATCGTCGAATTGAAGGACATCATGGCTACCAAGCATACGATCTTCTTCATCATGGAGTACATCAAAGCCTGTGGCGAACTTTTCGCCAAAGTTCTCAAAGGCAAACTCCAAGAAGACTATGCTCGGAAATACTTCCAGCAACTCATCAACGCCGTCGATTTCTGCCACAGCCGTGACAGCTACCATCGCGACCT